ACTCTTCCTGCTGGTGTCAAATTGTCCCCAGAAGATTTCATCCATTGGTTCCATTCGTCTCTCATGGCAGCTTTGAAGGGTTTGTTAATGCTGACACCAAGTGGTTGGAGCTGGGATGTCAAGCCTCCAGGTATGACGGCAAGTTTTGTTTTTTGCTCTGCAGCAATATTATTTGTGGTTTTTGGTATGTGTGCCCTGAACTGATCAAGCACCAATAGGGCAGGTTTGTGTAAGAGCCCACCTGGTCTACTGCTCCAAACTTTCTCAAACCAGATCTTCATCCCATTCTGATCCATCCAACCCTTGTCATGAATGTGGACAATCACTCCTCGAGGAATGTCTTCTTTTGGCATTGTTTTGCGTTTGAAAATCAGCATAGAAGGCAGCTTGGTTCCATCGGCACAACAAGCTAGAACAACTGTATAAAGGCTCTTTTCATGTCCACTTGTCTTCACAGTTACAGTTTTCAGCCCCTTCTTATCAACAGTTCTGTTACATGGGACATCAAATTGAAGGGGGACTTTGTCCAGATTTGCAATCTGTCCCAACTCAAATTGATGTGTCTTCCGACATTGAATAACAAAATGATAAAATTCAAGGACCTTCTGCTCGTAGCTTTCAGGCATCTTTTGGGCAAGTCTGGTACATGTAAGCATGCTTAATCCATTCAGTTTCATGAACCTGAAGCACCAATTGTGTCCTCCTTTGAAATCAGTAACTTCTTTTTCATCAGCAATTCTTGCCTCATGCTGAACCATCTTTGTGGACACAGGAATTCCAATTGCCCCTTGCTCTTCAATCCATATCTTCAATTCCCTCTCTAAATCTGGCCATTTTGCTGACTTGCCTCTCATGGCCTCCTTCTGCTGTGAAGGTTTTTCAGCAGGGTTTCTTCTTCCCATAGCCAGTCTCGGATTGTTTTCTCAGTTGGAGGAGGACCAAACTGAACATTCAGCAGCACAATTTCCATTCACTTTTGCAAACTGGATCACTTTTAACTTGAATTCAGCACTGTACGAAAATCTTTTCTGAGCCATTTCTAGGCCGAACGTGGCAAAAGGTAACCTACTGTAATATACCGGTAACAAGTGCGAACAATGAGCACAAAGACAACAAGCGCGAAAAAGCAGGAAATGCAAGTTAAAAAATCTACAACCACTGTATAACACATACCCAGTTTTTAGACCCCAGATTTTTTGAAAAGGGGTGTGTCTTATACAAGGGGAAATACTGTAGATGGCACATACTTCTACTAAAAAATTGTTCATTGCTTCTATGAAATTCAAATTTAAATGAGCATCCTGTTTTGTTATTTACCAAATCTGGCAGCCCTAGTTATGTGAAATCATCCAATTATAACCTTCCTTTGTCATAGGAAATTTGGAACTCACTACATCTAATCAGAGGGAAAGCAAATAATGGTTTGTACTCAGATGCCCAAATCTATTTGATAACCCCTCCCAATCATGTTGTAACAAGTTCTTCAACAAAAGAACATTTGCTTCCATGTTTAGCTTACCTCCAGCAGAACATCAATGTTGTTCCTGACCAGAAGTTTCTGGAGCATCTTCAAGAACTTAATCTCCCACAACTAGATCGAAGAACAAAACGACAGCAACTTGTCTGTTCCCCTTCCCCAATCCCCCAGCACTGTTCCCAATTCCCCAATAAAAATCTTTAAAAACAAACAAAAAAAAACCCTCTTATTTTTTAAAAAAAGAACTTAATCTCTTCAGATATGCAAATGAGCCAATTATAGATAAGCTGAAGTTCAGAAAGATCCTCAAGGAACCAAAGGTCTCTAGGAATGCTGGCTACCTGGTTATGATTTATACTCAAATATCTAGAACTTTTAATCTAAAATATAAACAAGGTATATGAATGAAACTCACAAGAATAAGAAAGTCCATTGTACAGACACAGTTTATCGCAAACCATGTGTCATTCACTTTTTTTGTAGTTCATTTGAGCCTTATTTCAGTCAAGTGTTCACAACACTTATTTCAGTCAAGTGTTCAGTCAAGTGAATCATTTGAGCATAAAAAAATTTGTTGTAATTTAACTTTTGAAGATATTTTATAATCAGATGGCTTGTGTTAAAAGTATTTTATGTAATCAAAACTAAGATTTAAAAGAGAGAAAAGCCTATTTCATTCTTTGTATGTACGAGGTTGGGCAATTAAATTTGCAAACTCATCCTAGAAAAAGTGCTACTGTACATACCTCATTGCTGAATCTCACTATGGTCACCTTCAAAGTACTCCCCTTGGGAAGCTATGCACCAACAACCAGCACTTAGTCCACCCTTTTAAGCAATTTTGGAACTCTTTTTCTGGAATGGCCATCAGAGTTGTTGTTGTACTACCCTTGATATCCTGAATGTCATCAAAATGTCTTCCTTTCACATTTCCTTGATATTCAGGTAAAGAAAAAAGTCACTGGGGGCCAGATCAGGTGAAAAGGGAGGGTGTTCCAATACAGTTATTTGTTTACTGGTTAAAAACTCCCTCACAGACAGTGCCATGTGAACTGGTGCATTGTTGTGATGCAAGAGCCATGAATTGTTGGTGAAAAGCTTAGGTTGTCTAAGCTTTTCATGCAGCCTTTTCAGCACTTGCAAATAGTAAACTTGGTTAACTGTCCAGTTTGTACAAATTCATAATGAGTAATCCCTCTGATATAAAAAAAAGGTTAGCAACATCGTTGTAACAAGTTTGCAAACTTAATTGTCAGATCTCATATACCTTTGCTATATTGAAGAGAAAGCCAGAGGACAAAGGATATATACATGTACAAATATACATATATACATGTACATATATATACACACACATATACTCACACATACATATACATACACATACATATTCATGAATATAGGTATAGATATAAATATATAGATATATGTATATAGTTACATGTGAGAACCATTTAGTCCCTATGGATGATGCAAAAATAGATCAGATATAAATTCCATTTTTATGTATATATCATAGTCTAGAAGGAGTTATTACATAGGCTATAAAATGAGGATAGAAAATGCCATTGGAAAGAAAATTACTAAGAAAATTTAAGTCTGTAATTGCAGATATGGTACCTGAGTTATATCACTAGCATTTTGGAAAAATTGACATTTGAACTTGGCCCTGAATAATAAAATATGTAAAATTAGGGCAACAAGCGGGCATAGTAAACTGAGAAAATATTAATATTTTGCAGGAAACAAAAACAAAAAGAAATTAGTACTACTGAGCACCGACCATGTACTTTTGCATTTAATTTAATCATCACCACAACCCTAAGGGTGGAATTATTAACCTTAATTTAGAGGTGAGGAAAATAAAGGAGCAGGGGCAGGAAATATCTTGCACAAATTACTCATTTAGTAGATAACAGTATCAAGATTTAAATGAAGATGTGTCTACTTGCAAAGCAATAATGAAAATATATAATTATCTCAAGGTTGAATGTGTTCAGATTAAAGCAGTAACAGAATGAAGTGACATTTTTAGATAGTTACAAATGGGGGACTGGAGGTTAGGGAAGTGGTCCATGTTAGCGAAAGAGGTTTGGAGGAAGACTATAAACATGATAGTGGAAGCCATGTGAATAGATAAGACTGACAGGAATAACAACAACAACAACAAAAAGGCTAGGAGAAGAGAAAGAAGCCAATGGAATAATTCTTGAAAAATGTGAACATCTGACAATAATTTAAAAAAGGCACAAGAGAAGGCATGAGTACAGAAATAGAAAATGAATCAGGTTAACAAGAAATTTCTAAAGGTATAAAAGAGTATTTCAAAATTAAAGAGGTAGTCAAGGACATCAGCAGCATAGAGGAACGAGAGGACATTCAAGTCTCTCTCCTTGAAGTTACAAGTTGGACAGCTATAATTCAACAACAGATTCCCTGCTCAACACACAAACACATTTGAGACATCGCACAGAGACATCTGAAGGTAGGAGTATCTGAGCAAACAGCAGAGACTAGATGGGGAGGGACAAGGACGCAGACAGAAGCCACAGGCATCCCAGCATTCACCACAGCCCCAGTGGACATGATAGCAGTGAAGGGCTAGGGTGCAGCTCTCCAAAGAGACAGAAACAGCAATCAGGCCTGGGTGGCTGGCAAACACTGACATTGGGCCCAGAGTCAGGGGCAGAGAAACAACGCAAAAGATCACAAAGCTCCAAAGCCCACCAGCATTGAACAAAGGAGTCCACAAACAGGGAATCTGCCCATCCCATCCTGCTGTGGCCTACCAAGCAGCAAGATCCTCTCTAGGCAGATTGCAAACAGGTGGGAGAAAAAAACAAAAACAACTTTCCCACCTAAGTAGTCTGCACTCATTGCAGCTAAACCCATAAGGAAGAACAGAACGTCAGACACTTGAACTTGCTACCCACCCCCAACCCTTGCCCACCCATCCTCCACCTATTGCAGCTACAGCTTACTAGAAGCAGCTGGGTCAACTTGGAGCAGCCCTGCAGCCACTTCTAGTTATAGAAGGGCAGCAACAGGAGTACATGGGCAACTCATAGCCTGTCCCTTCAAATCCACAGGAGTGGTGCCCTGAAACAGGCAATTAAGTCATGGAGGGAACACCACATACTTTCTACAGCCCAAGCAACACAGCCCAGGCAACACCGCCCCAAAGAGATTCCAAAGCCCTAAAAGTGTAAAAGAAGCTAAAAACTTGCACTTAACTGCCATCTACTGTAAAACCCAAGAAAGGCTTCTACTTATTAACTAAAATTCTGTACAATAGCAGCTTTCATTTCCACAAATACACAGGCAAGCAGAATAAATAACCAAAATAACAAGGGAATTCAGAACAAAACTGAAATGTCTCCAGAAAATAACTTAAAGACATGTTACTGTGTAGTTTAAATGACAAAAAATTTATGATTGCAGTCGGAAAAAACTCAACGAGATACAAGAAAACTCAGATAGGCAATTCAACATACTCAGAAATAAAAGCAATGGAGTACTTTACCAAAGAGTGATGCGACCCGCGCACCAACCAAGCATTCCTGACTCATCAGCCAGGAACCCACCAAAAGGGTACCTGAGAGGACGGGGTAGGAGACTGAAAAAGAAAGAGACTAGAGACGAAAGCTCGGGGCAGAAGGTCCACCCAATGCTGATGGCAGAGAGTGGCCTCATTTATTATTTGTATACAGTTTTTATAGCTTAAGTAACTTTCCTAGGGTAGGGGGTTTTGGGGACCTTGAGGGAGTAGCCACCTCCTCTCAGGGAACAAATTCCTTGGAGGCAATCTTTCTGAAGTGAGACAAAACAAAGTATAGCAAGCAGAAACTGTTAACAGGAGGGCCTTCCACTCTGTAGCTTTCAAGGCCGTTGACTGTTTTCTCCTCAGCGGCCAACCTTCCCACGCTGCTCACCCGGGCCTGAGAGCCTGTCAGCCTGCCAGCTTTCAGGCTTAACCCTTACTGCAGACCTCCAGCTCTCAGGCTTAACCCTTACTGCAGACCTCCGGCTCCCTACATCTCCCCCTTTTTTATTTATTACTTAAAGNCCTCTCAGGGAACAAATTCCTTGGAGGCAATCTTTCTGAAGTGAGACAAAACAAAGTATAGCAAGCAGAAACTGTTAACAGGAGGGCCTTCCACTCTGTAGCTTTCAAGGCCGTTGACTGTTTTCTCCTCAGCGGCCAACCTTCCCACGCTGCTCACCCGGGCCTGAGAGCCTGTCAGCCTGCCAGCTTTCAGGCTTAACCCTTACTGCAGACCTCCAGCTCTCAGGCTTAACCCTTACTGCAGACCTCCGGCTCCCTACATCTCCCCCTTTTTTATTTATTACTTAAAGGCAAACCTCTGATTTACTGAGGCTGTGGTTGGCTTCGCTACAGCTGTCTGCCTTGGGTTGTCCTCCTCAAAGAATTGAATCTTACCCATCATGGGCTAACCACCCATCTTACGACTGGAGCCTGTCTTAGGTTGTTTCCTTCCTGGGGATCTTACCCGTCATTGACTAACCAGCCATCTTATAGCTGGCCCTCTACAACGGTGCCTGGCTGGGGTCGTCCCTCTCCCAGGGCTCTTACCCATCTTTGGCTAACCAGCTGTTCTGTGGGCCAAGCCTCACAGAGCCAAACCTGGGGGTGGAAATGGAGCATGAGCATCTGACACAAAAGAACTTTGTTAGCGGGTGAGCAGCGGGGCCGTACAGAGAACTAACAATGCTGTGGACAGGGATATTTAATCTCTATCACGAGTCATGTGCGATGAGCCTCTAGGCTGATTGCCTGAAGGTGAGATTTCAAAACTGCTTGGCGAACTGAAACAAAACACAATATTAGAAGCCAGAGAACCACAATCCTTACTAAAGTCCAGGCAATAATCTGAACAATAGAAATTGATTTGAACTTGTTAAATGTGTTAATTGTATCTTCAGCTAGATCTTTTGGGTTAGTAATATCATTTATTATCCTGCATAGTAGTAATCTTTTTGTGAAGCAGGTCGAGGTCAATGGTAAGATTTGTACTATGCCAAATGCCCCGGAGGTGATCAGAAATGGCCTTCCAATTCCACTGAGTATCGTTATACTTATAACGAGTGACGCAAATCCCTCGATACTTAGCATGACATCGGAGGGAAAGATAGCAGCATATGGCCTCAACCTCATTACCTATCTGAAGAACAGCGTCCTCTAATGCACTAAGGTGGAGCTCAATTTTTGTATCTATATTTTCTTGAGTGTGGAGCGCTTAAGAAGCATTTTGAACAAGCTGTTCAACATAATCTGCTGTTTTGATAGAATTGGTTAGAGATGCAGCAGCTGTGATTGCCACGGCTATGATAGAAATAACTGCTGCAAGGCCTGTTATGATGAGTCCGACTACCCATCATTTTTGGCTTAAACCTTTATTTCCTCGAGGGCTTGTATCCATGGGTCATCATACCAGGAACCCTCAATAATGGTGGGAATTACAATATAAGGTGGCTGGCATAGGATTAGAATCCCTTGCCCTTTGTCTTGTGGACCAATACAATTGGTGTAATGGCAATTTTGACAAGAAATGTTATAGATAGATTTAGATATAGTGATTTGGAAGTTTCCAACCAATAATACTTCCAGGGCCTGTACACAGGCCGTGATGGCATATGATTTTGTATTTTCTTGTGGATAGGCAAAGTCAAACTTAGAAAGATTTATATAATCTGAGGCTACCCACAATCTCCAAATTTCCCTTTGTATGACATTGGAGCTTATGATAAGAACAGGAGCAGCAAAATGTCCTGGGAATGAGACACTTATGTCCGTATATTTAACAGACCAATCATAGATGTAAAAAGGAGTATTGTGTAATTAATGTCTGGTAACGGTGGGCTGTCGACAATCCCTCCATTGTATACTTTTGTGTGTATCTGGGACAATGTTGTTACAGGATGGAAGTGGCGGGGATGAGACATTCCCCCAGCTGAATCCCTTGCTCAGGCCTGTAAAGGACACTACTGTATGGTATTTCTGCATCAGGGCCCCAGTAGGGGATCTGTGACGTTGGTTGTCTTTAGTCTTATCAGTGTATATAACCATGCCTAGTAGGAGGCACCCTGGTACTAGCATGTGGGAGGCACAAAGTGGAGGGTTATGGGTTAAACCAGTATAATTCAAAGCAGCCTGTTGAGGCTGTATGTTTTTTTACTTCTCCCTCTAAAGGGTATGAAGTGTTGACCACATCTTAAGGGTAGTCTCATTCCAGGTTGTGGGAATGACTGTTGGTGGGTTGGGATAGTATGTCCAATACGTGTCCCCCTGTGTTATACTTACCTGCCATAACAGAATAACCAGTGTTGTAATCAGGAGTTTAGTAGGCTTTACCTGATCCCAGGTCCGGGCTGATCTTTTCCTCGGCTTCTGGGACTCTTGGCTCTCTGGTGTCCCTATGATGTTGTTTGACTAGGCATTCCAGGAGCCACCGAGGAACGTCTACTGTCCTAGGAAAAACACAAACATGTCCTCTCCCCCACACCAGGACTGGATCTGGTCCTTGCCAACTACCTGTGAGGGGGTCTTTCCAGTGGACGAGAGCCTCCGCAGCAGGACTGGGATTCCAAAAACAGTCTGCTGCAGAGTGACCTTGAGCATCCATTTGTAAAAAATTTAAAGTGAAAAGTGCATGGTTTAGTTGGTTGTGTACTGAGTTCCCATAATCTCCCCCCTTTTGTTTTAATAATTGATTTTTGAGTGAGCAATGAGCATGCTCAATAATTCCTTGACCCTGTGAGTTATATGGGATACCTGTGAGGTGTTGGATCTGAAAAGTTAAGCAAAAATTTTGAAAGGTCTTGCTAGTATATCCAGGCCTATTATCAGTCTTTATGACTTTTGGGATGCCCATAATGGCAAATGCCTGGAAACAGTGACTGATGATATATTTTGTTGCCTCACCAGAATGTGCTGTGGCAAATAAAAACCCAGATTTAGTGTCAATAGTGGTATGAACATAAGGAGTATTTTTAATACTAGGAATATGAGTAACATCCATTTGCCAGATGTGATTTGGAAGTAACCCATGGGGGTTAACTCCCAAATGTGGTTCAGGAAGCAAAGTTGTACAGTTGTTACACTTTTTATCTGTCTAGCCTGTTCTCAAGTGATCTTGAACTGGTGTCGGTGTCTTAGTGACTGAGCATTTTGGTGGTGGAGAGTATGAGACTGTATGGCCTTCTCCACAGGGCTCATAGGTGTGGCAAAAAAGGTCTGGACTGAGAGATCTAGCGATTGAGTAGCCACGTCTGCAGCAGCATTGCCTGTAGACAAAGGTCCTGGAAGGTCAGAGTGTGCTCTAATATGACCAATATACAGTGGCTGCCACCTAGCAAGAATGGTCTGTTGGTCTGTTTTAGTTGATGGAACATATGGAACAACTCCTCAGTGGTGGCTGAGCTAATATGAGCTGTCTCTATAACCTTGCAGACACCAAAGACATAATGACTATCTGTATAGAGGTTTAGTGGCTGGTGTGAAAACATATGTAAAGCCAGGTAACTGCAGATAGCTCCACCCGTTGAGCTGAGCTATACCTTGTGACCTTGGTTAAGGTCTGAGTAGGGGTGTGGACGGCTGTCCTGCCATTGCTGGAGCCATCTGTGAAAATTGTAACTGCTCCTGGAATGGGCTGAGTTTGTAACACTGAGAGGAAAATGAACGATGTAGGCTTTGCAAACTCTAAGAGTTTATTAGCAGGATAATGACATCCAAGCTGACCAGGAAAATTTGCTAAAGCTATTTGCCACTCCGTGGAGTTTGCATATAACTAAGATTGCTGACCACTATCAAAAGGAACTATAATGGCCTGAGGCTCTTTTCCAAAGAGCTGGAGACATCTTCATCTCCCCTTAGTAATAAGTAAAGCTGCTAACTCATAATATGGCTGAAGATGTTTAAAAGGAGTGCTCTTTAAATGTAGCCACTCCAACGGACCAGCAGGTTGCCACATGACCCCTGTAGGTATAGGGTCTGTATTACAAATGATGAGATACAGGTTGGGATGGATTTACTCGAGTAACCTGAGCCTGTTGAATGGCCTGTTCTACTCTGGCCAAAGTGAGTTTTGCCTCTGGAGTGAGACTCGGCGTGGGGGCGGGGTGGTGTCGGACTAGGCTCTCCCTGGAGGATATCAAATAGTGGTTGTAAATCTCTAGTAGTTAATCTTAAAAAAGGCCTAATGCAGTTACTGTCCCCTAGAAGTCTCTGAAAATCATTAAGTATTTTGAGGTGGCTAATTTTAATCTGTACCTTTTGTGGTTTAATTAATCTCTGAGTAATCAATGTCCCTAAATAAGAGAATGGAGGGTTTTCCTGAACCTTTTCTGGGGCAATGACTAGCCCTACCTTAGTAAGATTATATTTGAGGCTCCCATATATTTGATATAATACCTCCTTGTTAGCATGTGAGATAAGAATATCATCCATATAACGAATGATATAAGCCTCTGGGTGTAATTGCCGTATGGGCATGATGGCTTGACTAACAAACATCTGACAAATTGTAGGACTATTGGCCATGCCCTGGGGAAGAACCTTCCATTGGAAACGTTGCATGGGCTCCCTAAAGTTTAGCGATGGAACGCTAAATGCAAAATGTTTTTTATCATCAGGATGGAGAGGGATAGTAAAAAAGCAATCTTTTAAGTCTATAATAATTAAATGGTGATTTATTGGAATAGCTGTGGGGGAAGGAAGCCCAGGCTGCAGCTCCCCATGACTTCCATAACGGCATTAACAGCGCGCAGGTCTTGTAACAGCCTCCAATTTTTAAATTTATTTTTAATAACAAATATAGGCATATTCCACGGGCTGGTGGACAGCTCTATGTGTACAGCAGCAAGGTGTTCCCGGACTAATTTCATAGCCACAAGTTTCTCCTGAGTTAAGGGCCTTGGTCAACCCATACTGGCATCTCTGGAAACCATTTGATTTTAAATAACTTGGAGTGGGCTGCAGGAGATACCAAGGCCCCTAGGGAAAATTTTGATACCCTAGTCCTGATCTGCCAGTCTTAGGAATAGTTTGTACAGGCTCAAGTCTGCCCTGTCCTGAGGTGCCTAATCCCTGGCCTGGAATGTATCCCTGATTGAACATAATATTAGTGGCTGAGGAACTAGGACTATAAATCATGACTTTTGACTTAAAATGTCCGATCCACAGAGGTTAACTGGGAGACCCTCAAGGATGAATGGAGTAAACGTTCTGGAGTGTCCTTTAAGGTCTCTCCAAGTTAACACTTTGGAACTTTGTCAAGGTCCCGTTTTCATCCCTATGCCCTGGTGACTAGTTAAATCCTCCTGTACAGGCCAGGACGATGACCAATGCTGTTTAGAAATTACAGATACATCAGTACCTGTGTCAATGAGACCCTGGAACGCTTTTCCTTCTACAGTTAGGTTT